AAAAAAAAACAAAAAAAAAAACCAATTTTCACAAATTTTTTGAAGTACATGGATAAAAGAAAAGCACAAATATTTATGTAAAAATGTGATCATAATTCTTAATAAAATCCATAGAAACCTTGCCCCAGTAATAATCATAACCTAAGATCGCTGTTATGAAGAGAATATAATAACAAAAGAATAAGGTACAATGTCACTAACAATATACCAATATGATACAAAACAATTATGCCTCAAAGCTCATCAACCAAATATCCCCACCCCTCTCTCACAAACTGATCATCCCCCCAACCTGCAAATCCTACAATGTCCAAAAAAATCCCCCCCAAAAAAGAAAAACTCAATCTTGCCCCAATCCATCTTGACAAACACATTTTCACCCTTAATCCCTTCAACCAAACCACTGATAATCCCCAATCAACAATCACACTCGACTCGAACACAGCGCGTTCATCAGCACGTGACCGAGCATAAGGTCGACAAAGTACTGATGCCCGATTTTGCCATCCCTCCACTTCATCTTCAACGGGGCCCGCCCATAATGTACACCGTCATTCGCCCGGTTATCATAATGCCACGGATAGGTCATATCAAAGCCGTCTATGACCCTATCAATAACCCCGTACTTCCTAAACTTATCCAACACAACCCCATTGAAAGCCTCCATTTTGTGAGGATTGAACGTGAGCTTCCTAGCATGACCTCCAGTGGCCACAGTTGTCCGGTATATCACTTTTGGCCGTGAAAGCCCGTTTCCTTTAAGCCCGTCAAGAACTCCAGCCCAAAACGAGGCTGCAAACTCCGCTCCATGGATGAAATTCCTGATGTTCTTCCAGTACACCCCATCGTGCAGGCCCGAGTTCATGATCATTGTATCGGGCACTGTTCTTTGACGAAAATACCCTTTCAACAGTTCTTGATACTTTCTGTCGGTTAATGAGTTCAAGCCCTGGTAATTCCCGGTGTCGTTTGGGTGGCCGTTGAAAATGCTCGTCAACCGGACGCTTTGCGACTGGTTTTTTGGGTTGGTGATGTTCGCGTCGAATATTCTTGGCACGGCCGAGATCTCGTGGGAGCCCAGAATAAAGTGAAGGATGTTACGAATAGTATCGCAATGGTTCGAATCTCCCCACCAGAAAATCCAACGGCCGTCCAAACAATTCCAAGCCTCCCGGCTCGAGAACATCTTGAACGAGCAATGAGCTGAGTAAACCCACCCGTTGCTCTCGATTGAGCCCAACGGGCCGTGGCACCATGGGCCTTGGCAAGGAAAGTTCCAATCTTGGCATCTGTACCGGCCGTCGTTGCTGATCGGGCAGCTGTCATTCTTGGCGTGTCGAGTCCACCTGCCGGACCAGATATCCTTAGAGTAATCACTCCACGTGCATTGTCTTAAATCCGGCAATTTGGCGGTAGACCGAACAAACTTTATCGGGATCACGCGTAGAACCCTATCGAACACGAATCTTCCGGGCGAGAATCTCAAACCCTCGTAATGCCGGTAGAGTAGGATGACGGTCAAATTATAGACGCCCGCGAACTCGGGATGGACCTGGAGAGAAAGCGTGTGGGTCCCATTTCCTAAGTCCCTGACCGGAGGCCTGGACTTCCATTTCTCACCCGAGAGGTCGGTTTCAAAATAGTCGCCTCCCAAGCAATGAGGCTCCCCTGTCTCGTCCAAAGCCTGGAACGTGAACACGTGAATTTCTCCGGTCGAGAGCTCGATTTTTCGGTTTTTTTTGCTGTCCAAGCCGGGAATCGTTATGTTCTCGGTTCTCGAGTCCTTACAGGGCTCACCCCCTGGGGCTAACCACCGGGAAAGGAGACTGGTTGAGTAATTCGGTTCCAACTCGGATGAAATCCAGGGGTTTAAAACTGGGTCATTTGTGGGGATTTTCGGAAGTTGAGGGGTAGGAAGGGAAATAATCTGGGTCTGATTTAGAACAGAATTGTGTGGCTCATGGGCAATGTGAGGATCAAGATTTTCTTGGGTTTTTGTTAAATTTTGGTGGGAGAGGTTTGAATCAAGCTGCTGGGCAACTATCAACTGGGGCTCAAGTGAAGAACTTCCACTAAAGTTTGAATCTTTAAGGGGTACTGGCAGATTTTCAGCACCACTGGGCTTCAAAACAGCAAGATCTTTGTCCAAAGAGTTCATATTTAACCCATCAATCCCCCAAACTATCAAGATTCCAAGAAAGACCCCAAGCATCAAAATCTTGAACCACCATTGGACTATGTGGTGGTTTAATCCTAAAACCCATCCATATTTTGCAGCTTTCACAGGCATCTGCCAAATAAATCAACAAGAACAAAAAATTTAAAAAATAATAAAAATAAATAAATATATAAATCCAGTGTGCAAATCAAAAGAAAAACACAGAGAGTTTTTTCAGAATAATAAGCAAGCAGCATAATAATATGAGATAATTGCAAGCAAGAAGAACAATAACCGGCCACCACAGACAACAAAATTCCTCAAAATCTTGAAAAATAACAAAACCAAACAAATATAAAAACAAAAAAGGGGAACTTGTTTACTTGCAAGTAGGTGATTTTACAACATTCCCAGCAAGAGAAAATTACTAGTGGATATGAGCGTTGTGTTTTTTCTTGGGAAAATAAAAACAAAATGCACACATTTCTTACTGTTATGTATGGTACAGCTCAGTCGTTGGCACAGTACAAAAGTCGTCAATGCTCTCTCTCTCTCTCTCTCTCTCTCCAATCTCCTCTGTCTCTCTCTCTCTCACTTAAAGATATGTGCAGATTAGTTGTATGTGAAAGAGTTCTACCTTAAATAATGCACTCAAATGGTGAAGACTCAATTTACAGTTTGGTCCCCGTGGTAAGGTTTATCACCACACCGTCCACCGACAGTCATGGGGAGGGTAATTTTGTCTTTTTGTTATGGGCCCTGCCTCTGCATGGTTGTTGTCACATGTTCCAAGTTTTTTTTTTTTTTTTTTTTT